CTTTACACTAAAGTCTCAATGTGCTACATAATACACAATACATTCATACCCTGACATCACATTCAATACCAGGGTTATTTAGTACAGGCAGAAATAACTAGAAGTTAACATAGCAAATATAAAATGCATTACGGTAAGACGAGATTATCATGAAAAAATTTGTTTTAATACTGTAATCAAGTTAGAAACTGCTGGTGAAGGGCTTAATATTGAATGTTGTACTGACAATAGAACCTAGAAAGTGGTACGGTATCCACTTCAGCTAAAGTGATCACTCTATTGCAATATAATAAGATGTTATAATAAATAATTGCGTTGGTTATAACGAAAGAGAAAAAAATAGACAATACAGTAAATAAAAACGTGTTTATAGACAAAAATTGATATAAAACTTATTTTGCGCCACTTCTCACAATTCGCAGGTTACCCAACAGTGGGGGAAAACAAGACTCAAAATAGGTGCAATACTTAATAATCTTTAGTGCAATAAAGAACATTCTCAGCTCATGCGTTAAATGAGTTTAAATTTTATCATATCATCTATATTACATTTATGCAATCGATCGTGAGAAATAAATCGTTGAGTCTGGAAAATTTAAATATGCATTGCATCACCATTTATATGAAGTACAAATTAGACATTAATATCAATAGAATTCTGATAAATAAAAAAAAGGAGTGAAAAATTTCCAGGAATATTAATTTTTCAAGCTATTACTTACTTTCATTTCTGTTGACTGGAATAAACTTCACACCGCTATTCGCTTGCGTCTCCTGACACCTTCGTGACGAGGGGGTGGTTTCTATCTACGAAAAAAAATTTTTGTCTCTTTCTTATTAAAAAATCGTAATTTTTGATAGTCATCAAATTTAATTCATAAATTTAATTAATTAAATAAATAATTACTTATCCGCTCTAATTATTCAGTACATTTCCGAATAAAAACAAATTAGCTTCTCTTGAAACGCTAGCGTCATGAAATGTTAGAGAGAACTCGAAAAAATTCTTAAATAAAGGAAATATTATTCAAAAAAGCAATGTTCTTTTCTTTGAGAGAGAGAGAGATAAAACTGCGCAACTTTAAGTCTAGAGACAAAATATCATCAAAACGACATTAAACACGAAGATACGATATAACATCACCCTATATCTTTCTCTAACATAGATATGCTTTACATTATAGAGCGCACATCGGCAGGTGCAAAGAAGTTTCAGTTTCTCAGGTCAAAACTTCACACAAGTTCTGGGTCTCATATAACGTGATGGTTAAGAAGTAAGTTTCTTAAGAGTGTAAAAGGCAGAACTTCTTGAGATGACATTCAGGTTAGGACAAGCAATGTGGTACCCAGACCAAAGCTGCCAGTTCTTGAAACATTTCAACGACGATTGATAGTGCATTGTATCACGTCCGAAATATTAACATTGAAGACTCATTGTTTTCTGGGATTAATAAACAATTTCTCTGCCGTGAAGGTGGAATTTGTTGAAAATCAGCAATATGAGACGAGTGTGGTCACCAACCAAGCACTTGCCTGAGCCCAAATATATTAAGCTGTTCATTGTTCAATGAGCCAAGTTCAGCTGCTAACCAGCATCCGAAGAGACGACTGAACTGTACCTAGACTGACCAACAAATATTTCCCTCAATTTTTTTCGAACATTCATATTATCTAGTGAAAATTTAAACTTCGTATTTTTCGCTCGATGATGTTTAAATATTTTGGTGCAATTTCCAATGGAAATTTTTTAGCGCATTTTCTCATTTATGGAAAAAATGCACTATTGTGCTCGCCATGTCCGTCTGTCTGTCTGTCCGTCCGTCTGTCCGTCCGTCCGTGACCTCAAGTTTTCGTCGACGAGAAAATGCGCTCTCTGTCACTCACTGCAGTGATTAGTGAGTTATAATTTTTTTCCTCCTACATAAGACTTCATCTGACCTGTAAATTTCGACCTTTCCTTTAATATTCCAATATACATACATTTTTTAGATTAAATAAATTTAAATTTGCTTACTGTTTCTATTTATTTTGAACCGATTAAACTTTTCCAGTGAAGTATAAAATGATTCTGTTCAATATTCCATACACCTCTTTCATGAAATGATTATTTTTTTCGGGACTTATGATGACGAGCGATCATTTTATCGATCATAACTCAATAATTATTCATTTACCCATTCACTTATCTAAAAAAAACAGTAAATAAAAAAAATTTCAAACGCATCTTACAATAATTTATTTTGAAGATTCATATCGAGACCGTGAAAAAATTCAAATTTAAATTTGCTCATTTTCATATTCCGTTCAGAAAAGTAATATATTTAGCTTTCTGCTAAAATTTATTTTTACCTACCGCTGCTAACGTATTGAGTTGCCACAGCACGCATGCTCTTCAACACGCGCGCAAATAATCAATAATTCTGACGGGATTTATAAGCCAGTTATTAATAATGAATTTGCAGAAATTTTTCTGTAAAATTTCTGCATCAACGAGCTTATCGCTTTAAGGCTTCGTTCCTAGCACGTAATCTCCCACGGAAAGCATAAGTGCTTCAATAATTCAATAACCAATCGCGTCGAGATTGTTTGCCGCTTATATGCTTGGGAACAATGTTTTGTACATTGTACAGCTGAACTACTCATCAGCACAATATAGTGTTCATTGTACTACTCCTCAGTTTAATATTGTGCACAGCTCAAGGCCTCCGTACAATATTGCGTTCAGCCGAAACCTCAGTTATACGTGAAAGAAAACTATGATTTTATGCATTGAAAGTGTCATGGGGCAGATGCAATAATATATTCAAGCTTCATTTCGTTTGACTATTTCTCGTGTGTAGATCATGCATGCTACTTTATTTTTTCCTATGTTGAATATTTTATGATAAATATTATTAGAATTATATTATGCTTAATTAATATAATGCTCCCTTAACACTTTAAAGATCTTTTTGGAAAATGTTCTGGGAAATATCTTTATAAAATCGAAGCTAAACGTTTCAATTACGGAACTCTTCATTCAATGTGTTTTTATAGTTATTTATTACTTACCGAGAAATAAATTAGATTTAGAAATCCAAAAGTGATCTAATTGCTTCGTCTTGCATCCAGAGTGATAAAAAGTAATAATATTTCAGCATTAACAAGTAAACTTACCTGCAAAGAAGTGCACATCTTTGAATCGTTCTGCTTCAACTTGCATCAGAAAAGATTCCAAGAAATATTATCTCTTAATGTTTAATAAACTTGCACGCAGTTATGTGCACACAGCTGAATAGTTCTGCTTCAACTTGCACCGAGAAAGATTTTAATGAATATTATATTTTCATGCTCAGTAAACTTAAGTGAAAATTTAGTGAATACCGCTGAATCGTTCTACTTCAACTTGCATTCAGAAAGATTTTAATGAATATTATCTTTTCATGCTCAGTAAACTTACGTGCAAACTTAGTGAATACTGCTGAATAGTTCTACTTCAACTTGCACCGAGAAAGATTTTAATGAATATTATCTTTTCATGCTCAGTAAACTTACTTGCAAATTTAGTGAATACCGCTAAATCGTTCTACTTCAACTTACATTCAGAAAGATCTCGACAAATGTTATCTTTTCATGCTCAGTAAACTTACTTGCAAATTTAGTGAATACCGCTGAATAGTTCTACTTCAACTTACATTAAGAAAGATCTCGACAAATGTTATCTTTGCACAACCAAGTGGAGTTGCCTGCAATTAAGTGCGCACCGCACGGCTTACGTATCTCAAGTTGCGTTGAATGGAAGCAATTGCGGGCTCCACTCTGCACGGTATTTAGAAGCGTGATGTGTGCTATGTGTTTATCAATTGGGATGCCCAGGAAAGCGACTCGGCTCGATACGAGGATGGTGATTAAGTCGAGCTTCAGGTGAGATTGAATCGAGAAGGAAATTAGAAATGTGAATGGCAGACGTTGCTACTGGCGAGTCTCCGCTGCAATCTGACGAGGGTCGTTAGCGAGGAATGGAGGAATGTCTATTTCTGAGGAAACCGAAAATGTTTGTCATTTAACGTCTTATTGGAATTTCGTGTGACTTAATTCAATTGAGCCGAGTTATATTGTAATCTCTAATGTAGTTAGTGACTGTCCGTAAATATATATATCAAAATATATATCTATTTAAAATTTCTGATATATCCTTGACATAGAGATGATTTTACGAAGAGTTAAGACCATTATTGTTCATCTCATTTGTTATTCTGACGATTCGATCATGGACGATGTTAACAATTGAACAACTTTTAATTTACACATTAATCTTCATTATATCATTATGGATACCCGGTAGTGATTTTTGTACTGTTGTATTCAAGCTCGAAAAAAAAAAATCGACACAAATTGCAGTATTTCAAACGGTCGCAGCAAATTGTGGTAAATGCCAGTAAACCTAAGCTAAATTATTAAACTTAAAAGATTGAAAATAAAATGAATCCTTGTGAATTTCAGGACTCGGGGAAATTAATGCATGAGCCATCGCCTGATATCTAGAAGTCCTTGCCAGAGATGAAGAATTTTAAGAAGGCAAAATTCCACTGCGAGGCAAAGCTCAAAATCCTAAGTTCCTGCGATCAGTGAATAAGGCTGAGTTGCCAGAAAAATGACTTACATAGAAATGAGTTGACCCACGAATGTTGCCTCCTCATAATGAGTTGACCCGCGAATGTTGCCTCCTCATAATGAGTTGACCCGCGAATATCGTCTCTTCATAATGAGTTGACCCGCGAATATCGCCTCGACATAATGAGTTGACCCACGAATGTTGCCTCCTCATAATGAGTTGACCCGCGAATATCGCCTCCTCATAATGAGTTGACCCGCGAATATCGCCTCCTCATAATGAGTTGACCCGCGAATATCGCCTCCTCATAATGAGTTGACCCACGAATATCGCCTCCTCATAATGAGTTGAACCGCTAACATTGACTCATAATAGTGAGTAAAGGCGTGAATAATGAGTCATAATAGTGAGTACACTCGGTTTAATTCGCGTACATGACTTATAGATTAATCATACACACAAGAAACCATAATTTCTAATATATACAAGACATTAATACACAATCTTGTCAACAAAACCCATGCAATATACGGAGCTATTAACACTTTTCTATTACACATTATTTATTTTTACAACAACTAACGCACAGGAACATCATCAAAGTCGATGCTTAAATTGTTTAGTTATTTGTTTGAAGCAATTCAACGATCATATTTTCGCACGTAGTAGATTTTAATTGAAATCACATGCGACTCCTAATTAACCTAAGGGTTTATCACTACTTATTGCACGGGTGATATGCGAGGGCGAAAAGATATGTTCAAATCTGTGCGTTTGTGGAAGAGAAGTTTGCATTTTAATTGATTGAAATATGCTGCTAGGAATTGAAAACAATTCATTTATTTTTATGCTACACTGTCAGGTGTCTTTCCCATGTTTCTCAGCGTGTTTTTGTTGAAATAAAAATCTCGTAAAAATTGTGTTTATGTTGAAAGTTACAAAAAAAACGTCGATGTATTTCGGATTTTTATGGGAATGTCGCTAAATAGATTTGTTAGAGGTTATACGAAACGTTTAAAATAACTTGGTTTTACTTTTTTATTCTCCTAGACACCGTATAAGTTCTGTCATAATATAAATTTTGCAGGCAGCATTTTATTTCACATCAAGTCAGGAATGCACTTCTCTTAGAATGAATAGTGAGTAAATACAGAAAATTTGAAGTGAATTATGTGTCTCACTTCCATTTCACTATGTGTCTGTCAATTATGTGTCAAGATCTGTCTCACTTCCTCACACACTGATTTATTGAGGTGCACTAATGTGTTGTTATTTTTACAAATATTGCTTTCTTTCAATAAGAATTTTTTAACCGTTGTAAAAAATCAAGAAAAAATGATAAATCATGGTCAGAAAGTATGCAAGTAGTGAAAAAAGGTGTGAATCTTTGGCAGTTGTTGAACATTTGCCTAACTTGAACATGGTTTTATCGTGGTTTATTATTCATTATTATTTACAGATATATATTTTCAAATTCCAACAACTTAGCATAAAATTGTTGAACAGTTTCATACTTTTGATATGTGTTCAATTTATATACTTTAATTTTAAATTATCATCTATGCTCCAAAATACATAGTTCGAGCATTTCGATCACTCAGAGTTAGTCGACGTTCGGGATTTAGTAAACGGAAACTAGAGAAGTAATATTAAAGATTATTTCTTCAGTAAGCCGCGTCTAATGCGTTGAATTTAGTTATATATCGCACATTTAAGACAAATTTGTTGGTATATATTTACAAAATTAAAAAAAAAAAACTTTACGTATGGCAAACATCGGACAAATTATGGCGGCTGTATGACATCCGTCTAGTCTGTTCCTAATGACACTTCTGATTATAAAAAAATCATCAATGCAGCATGGATTCAAGGGCATCTTTGTACACAATTTTTTTATTGATATGAAATTTAAACGGACAAATGATTTTTTTTTTGAAAATTTGAAATGAAGCTGGACATTAATCTGCACGTCTTCGTAGATGAATTTAATTTTAAAAGAAAGTTCGTACTTGCAGCGCATCTTTTGAGGTTAGAACTAATAATTCATATACTATTTGTTTTTTTTTAATTTCCTTCTCCAATATCAAAAATCATCCTTATTTTCTAGCAAAAGTTAAACTGGATACAATTACTTTGTCTCCATTTCCCACTACAAGAAAATTTTTCAGGGAATTGCGTATTAATCTTAACAGTAAATTTTAGCTAGTAATATCGGATAATGCGACCTGTTTCAAGTCTTAAGATGTGATCATTAACCTTGCTTTAAAATTTTTAATATCACCAACAACATTCAATAATTCTGAAGGGATTTATAAGCCTGTTGGTTTATAAATTGACTCATGAGTCCGTTGATGCACGCATTTATCAAAATTTTTATCCATCAGTATTGGAAAATATCATATATATGTCAGACATATGAAGCCTTACGGAGGTTCTTACTTGATTTTAACTGCGGATATGGCACCAACTTCCTCCCATGAGTTATTAAATATTCAACGACACTCCACTACTATCAAGTAAAATTGAGTAAGTACAGAATTAAAGTTAATAGGAAACCATTTGGAAGCATAAGAGCGAATATATAAGAAAACCATTTTGGAATTTGCTCGGTTATCCAATTTTTTAAGGAATAAGTCTAAAGGAATAATTTAGCATTAACAAGCAAAAAGTTATTTTGAAATCGAGAAATATTGCGAGAAACCTCAGTGGCTGAGAATCTAACAGCGTTGCGAAGTGTGACTCTCCCTCGAGTTGAGTGTGCCACATCAGCAACCCAGGATCTATAATACCAATACCTTCTTTGATGGACTTCACAGTTACATTGTGTGCCATGCGCTGCATCGCATTGAGAAGCGGCGGGGTTTGTCCGTGGAGTTTGAGCAAGGAGTTCCGCAAGCTCGCGGCGCCAGATGCAATCAGATCGAAAGTTTGGCGCGGGCTGAAGTCGCGATTCCTGCCGTTGTGGTGGATCTTGCGTAAACCAGGATCGCTGTAAGATCGCAGGTCTTCTTGCTTCGTGTCGACGGTACTGGCGCTGTTACGATCATTCGGTGAAGGAGCGCCGTGCAAAAGCGAACTTTTGCTCTCAGATCCTTCCTTGGCGGGAGGCTCGAAGCCTGTTGATGAGTATGGAGAGAAATTGCATCATTATTTGGTCACATAAGCATCGAATACAAATATATTAACATGAAAATACGAAGTATAGTATTAGGAGTTGGAAATAATTAGTAATAAATCCATTTCACGAAGCCATAGAATTTGGATACTGTGAAATGTATTACTCAATCATAAATTTGAAAGAAATATTAGGTATCATGCAAGAAGAATTGAACAATTATGATAAATTATTACCCGACAACAAGAGCTGCATTCAAAATATTAGGCCAAGACAGCAAATCCAATACGAATAAAGTATAATTAGGAAGCAGACACTTAAGAAGTTCCAATCTATAATTTACGCTTAGGCGAATATCAGAAAAAGTAAATTTCAGCCGAAAAGGTGATGAAACATAAATAAGAAACATTAGTTTCCTAACTCTTGTCGGGACCCAGTCAATAAATAAATGATATGAAAATAAAGCCATCAGGAGCCCAAGACATTTAAGTATGATCGTGTTGTAAAATTATCGCCATTAAGAAGGATGAATAAAACTGAATAATTGAATAAAAACAATAATCGAAGCAACCAATCAATAAATGCCGAAACAAAAATAAATAGCGAGCGTTTTCTAGGCCATTTACCTATTACGATAAGGATCTATTCAAGCCCTTATTTCGGAGCCTTTCTGCTCGTACAAAATGAAAACACAAATTTAAAACCAAAGAAATAAATAAACCAATAAACGCTGAAATATAGCAAGAATGACATAAGATACAGGAATAATATTATTAAGAATATTCATTAAAACGTCGAGGAAAACTTTATTTAAATACCAGTGCACAGACAACTCTAAAAATAACCGCGACTAAAAGAACCACACATCTCTGTGGTAGAATCACAAGCCAGAATGACTAAATATTACGGATTCCTACCGAGGTCGCGTCAGAGGTGACTGAAAACGTAAATGGGAAATACTAATATAATATTTACAAGAACATTGCATCCCTTTACATCCTGAACTTTTAGAGTCTTTTTTAGCAGCTAAGAAAAATAAGTCCTATCTGTAGAGCTAAGTTGTTGATTGATGGAGATAGATGGGCATTTTTCTGGCCTATTTCTCCGATTTAGGCCTTTTTCCAATAGAGTTGACAGCTACAATTTCTAAAGGCCTTATGCCAAATATCATTTTTACAGGCGAAACAGCCCGTTAAACAGATTTTTGTTGCAAGGCAAATCACAATTTTCCTAACAAACAGAGAATAAGATATTTCATACATGTATGTGAGCTGAGTTCACTATTTTCGTGTGCTACCATCTGGCAATTCTGATTCGTAAGATCTATCGTATGCAAAAAATTTACACGCTAGTGCAAAATTTTAGCACAAGCAATAATTATTGCACGAAATCAAGCTTCAGGTAGTAAATGCACAAATGTAAACTTGACTTTTTGCAAATGAACTTAAGCGTTTGAAGCCAAATTTCAATAAGTTGATACAAGCATTTTTTCTTCAACGCGATTCGAGTGCAATATTATGAAGGCTCTGGAGTTACGGTCACTAAATTGCCTGCTAATAATTCAAGCGTATTTCAGGGACTTATTTTAATAATTTATTTTCTCTTACTTCAATTTTTCTTGTTGTTAGGAAGCTCGGAGCTTGTAAGGTACTTCACATGCGTAGTAATAATAATATGTACAAACTGATGTATAGAACAAGTAGAAATAAGGAAATATTTAATATATTAAAATATACGATAATCTAACTATCGTCTGAAAAATTTCTAAAAAATTCTTCGCATACTCAAGCATTCGGTTGCTAGGAAAGTCTTAGAAAAAAGTTTCTACATGTAAAAACGTTGATACAAAATGCAAGGAATATACATAAATTTTCTTGCTCAAAAACAACGTGTTTCAATAAGATAAAGAGAAAAAGTCATTTGCCCTTTCTCCTCACCCTCAATAAATTGGTTTTCTTCTGATATGGCTTTCTCTCTGTCGAACAATGTGGATTTGGCTCCACCTGAAACGCGGATGTAGGACAAAACTGAATAAATTCAGTTAACTATAGAAATTTTATGAACACATACTCAGTAGTGGCTTGCAAATATCGAAATATATCCATGAACAGATAAATGTCGCTCATTGATTGTACTTTACATATGCTTAAGAATATCTATTCGATAAATTATTTGACGCTTTAATGCGTAATTATTGTTCCTATTCTTTATTCAAGCTGATACGGGTCTCACTGAGCACATTATCTTGAAAGCTACAATCCATAGATAAGCGATGTATTAGTGACGCAAAAATCCTAACTGTATTTTAAGATCATTTATACGTATTCAATCGTATTTTGCTGGCCATGTCGTATCTCTCAAATTGAATGTTCTGTTGCCAAAGAATATTTTTGATGCACCCATTACTCAAAGTATTAAGATGTTAAGTGAGTTCAAAAGGAAAAAAAATTCTAAGGCGGTTGAGTACGTAGAAAATGATTTATACCTAATTATACCCAGTTGAAGATATATTTATTTCTATTTTCCTTTTATTTATACAAAAATTCAGCCCGGTAGCAAGTAACGTAGAGGTAAATTACCGAATCCATTTTAAAGAAAGATGTTTCTACTTGACAACAAGTAATGTCATTTAATATTTTATTTAATTGATTTGAAATGTAACAATACGTATTTTAGGGACTGTAAATGTATGGAGAAGCGTACTCGAGTGCCAGAAATTCAATTACGGCCAACTTATGTCATTTACTAAAGGCTTGAAAACCCATTTATTTAAAAAAATGAATGTTCTATAAACATCAATTAACTCCCAGACAATTACTACCCAACAAATGTTGAAAGCTATGATCTTACTTCTCTTCGGATCACATGACAGGAATGATCGATAAAGAAAAATTATTAGCCCCTACTGATTTTTCCCATAAAAATGATTAATCACCTTTATTGATTGTGTTCACACTAATGCTGATAGTCATGAATCACCAAAGAGTTATTCTTGATGAAGAGATATTAATCACCTCTACAAATTTTTTTTTAAAGAATCATTAACCACCTTCGCTAACGGTGTTTTCGCTGCTGCTGATGAACCTGGATCACTTAAGAGTTATTTTTATATAGAGATATTAATCACCTTTACTAACGGTGTTCTGGCTGCTGCTGATGAACCTGGATCACTTAAGAGTTATTTTTATATAGAGATATTAATCACCTTTACTGACGGTGTTTTCGCTGCTGCTGATGAACCTGGATCACGTAAAAGTTATTTTTATATAGAGATATTAATCACCTTTACTGATGGTGTTCTGGCTGCTGCTGATGAACCTGGATCTCGTAAAAGTTATTTTTATATAGAGATATTAATCACCTTTACTGATGGTGTTCTGGCTGATTGGCATGGAGGCAGACAGTAGCACCTCCTGTTCAGCGCCTCCCTGACTGTTGTTCGAGATGCAGTTGTACTCGCCGATGTCTCCCTGCTGGACTGACCTGATGGTCAGCACCATGCGGCTCTTGTAGCTCACAGAACCTTCGTAGTTTGTCACTTTGTACCTGGCAAAAATAAAGGATAGACGGATTTTGCATAAGTTTGTTGTTACTTTGGTCTCGTTTTTGCGTTGGAGGTAAGTAAGTCAGAAAATATAAAGATTTGAGGATACTTATTTTCAATTTATTTCCAGAATGTCCAAAAAGAATTCAATATTTTATTTGAAGGATTTATCAGGTATTCTGACTTGCTATCGGAGTGGAGTATCTCAATTCCCGACGGTCGCTTCCAGTAGCTCAGACCAGGTGGGAAGGCCTCAATTAAACATTCGATTTCCATCTGCTGGCCGAAGTGTGCGTGCACCAGCTGTAGGGGTGCGTAGACCAGCGGCTGGACTGAAGGGACCGCAACAGACATCGACAATAATACAGTCTTAGGTACATCTAATGTCTTATATCTAACATCTAATATATATTTTATGCATGACCTTTAATATAATGAATAATATCTCGTATCTAATAACTTCTTCTAATCGTCCTTGGAAAAGGCTACAAACATGTTTGAAATTTTGAGCCATTATGATATCATAAATTAATTAGAGCGGTCAGAAATGATCAGCGCAATTTAACCATCAGCATTTGATCAACTAGTTTAGCAATCATGAACTATTAAAGTAACAGCAATTCATTGGAGATGCTGAAAATTATGGAAATATTTGACCGAAAATCAGGGAGCACGATGAGCTGAAGAAATTGGGTTTACCTAATGTTATGGTCTTGATTCATGTTTCTTTCATCTAATCGTACATAATCCGACAAGGTAATTGTTAAAAATTACTCTTTCTGGCCATGATCAATACGGCAAAATGATATAGTGATGAAATTAACGAGACTTGAACCTCACAATCGACTTTAGATTAATCTTATCTCAAGCCCAGAATAGAACTTCACATCCAAGTTATCTTCGAATTAGATTGTCAGATTTGACTAAAAATTGTGTCGGATGAGGCGTTCAAACTTTATGGTAGCACATTCTTCGATTTCACATAGAAAACTTAAACCTTGTGTTTAAATTATATTCTTCAAAATAATTACGAGAATTGTGAACTTTAACACACAACCACTATTAGGTCCATGAGAAAAGTCATCGTAACTGAGTTACTATCAAATTAATGGTAAAGCAATTGCTAAAAGAACTCAGCAGTGTAAAATTCCGCTAATGCATTCAAAGTAAGCGAATGAAGCATACGATGCATTTTAAAATTTTGTGAACAAAATAACGGCCACCCTGAAAATAATCTAATAATTTTTTTTCAACGAGACAATTGTAAACTACCATAAACTTTATAATCTAGTGAATAATATAATGCACTCTCAACCAAAATAGTAATGAAATTTATTCAAGGCCAATTTAATCCTACCCTAGAATTTCTCCAGAATCAAATTTTTCCTGTGCAGAAAAACCAAACTTTTCTATGGACCCAGTGAAAAAACACGTACACTCGATCAAAATTATAATATTGTATAATTCATAATTCCACTGCATCAAACCCGCCCCAAACTTTATAAACCTACGAAAAAAGATTTTTCCTGTGAACAAAAACGAAACTTTTCAAAGAATCCTGCGAAAAAAGTGCACTTATCTAACATGCAAATAAAAAATGAAACCGTGGTATTTTGAAAAGTGGTTTTTGGTACCAATTACAGAAGAAACCTTCCTGCGCAGATGCAGGCAGGCCTAGGCAGATCGAACATTATTTTCGTATCTCTGATTCGGCTTGCGACTCGGTGCCCGCAATGTTTGGTGAGGGACCGCTGCTTCATCTCGAATAATTTCGATTAAACAGTAACGCAATATGTGTAATGGTATCATTATTAATTTTTTGTACATATTGTGTTCGTTCAATTGTTTTCAGAACCCAATTTTGTGTTCATTCATTTCTTTCCAGAAACGAACTGTGATATGCTGAACAAGAGGAGAAAGTGTGTACAAGTATTAGACAACGAGCTACGCGTAAACTCTGCAGTGAGAGAAAATTTAGAAGAAAGTTAATAAGTAAATGAAACTACGATGGAAGATATTTTTATAGTTCATTAAACAAATTTAATATAAACTTCTCCTAAAATTTTTAACCTGCGAAAATAAGAACGTACACTCGACTTCAACTTTGATGCGCTTGCTGACAGAAGGCGGGACGCCGTTGGACGCAATGCAGAGGTAGGCAGCCATGTCCGTCCGCTTCAGATCCTTCAGGAACAGCAGCGGACCATGGGCCTCTTCATCTGATATTATCATTAAAATATCATGTACAGTGACTACTTATTAACCGTAACGTGAATTAGATGGTGACTCTATACGCCTCATATACAGTGAAGCCATATTGACCTCAACATTAATTTTACGGCGAAACTATACATCTCATGTACAGTGACGCTATATTGATCTCAACCTGAATTATATGGTGACACCACCACATCTCAGATACTGTGACACTATATTGACCTCAACATTAATTATACGGGAACACCATACACCCAGTACACATTGACGCTATTTTGATATCAACCTGAATTATATGGTGACACCATACATCTCAGATACTGTGACACTATATTGACCTCAACATTAGGTAGATGGTGTAGCCATGTAACTCACATAAAGCTAGTCCCAATTGACCTGAACATGAGACATAACTCCTATTTGTTAACTTGTTGTGCCTTCGCACACAAATATTCTATGTTGAGACCCTCAATTACAGCATATTAATATATAAAACTACCATTATAATTATTGAGTGTGTTGTTTGAATATTACCAGGATTAGATGTTGCAGACAAACATAATTGTAATTGTGCATCAGATCATTAGAGAACGATGATGACTCAAATAGTACTTTTGGATCATTCAATTGGGTTGAAGCAAATATGATGAATGAGATTTATGCGCTCAGCATAATATTACTGCAGTAATAGATTAGGAAATACGGGACTAAAATTTATCTGACTTCAGAATTATTCTGCAGTGTACCAAGCAGGCATTTGCAATCTAATCTCAGTTTACCATTGTTTAAATTGATTGAATCTCACGCAGATTATTAATTCACTATCTGCTGTTTGTCCTCACCCATGACAGATCCGTTGATCCTGATCTGCTGTTTGTCCTCACCCAAGACAGATCCGTTGATCCTGATCTGCTGTTTGTCCTCACCCAAGACAGATCCGTTGATCCTGATCTGCTGTTTGTCCTCACCCAAGACAGNGTGGGTGGGTCAGTGGGTGGGTCAGTGGGGCGGTTATTGAAGCGGTGAGCGGTCCCACTGTACAATGTTTGCTGTACGTCACTGTGCTGCATTGTTGAGCGTAATGAAACAACACTTTTCACAATAAACAGATTAGTAAAAACTGTAGCATCAACACCTAATAAAAAATTACTGTACAATAAAATTCACGTTGATTATGTTATTAACCGCAATGGGATGAAAATATCAAAGTAACACACTTCTAGAATAATGGGTCCTGCCACAATCTTCGCAACAAACGTACATATTAATAACGAAAAATTAGACTACAATTGAGAACAGTTTGACGTTTCGTAAAGTAATCTCAGTAATACATCTGGAAATAATACATCACTTTGGTCTTACCCTCCTTCACGATGAGCAGTCAAAAGGCAACTCGACGCTCACAAAACAGCAATCATTGGTCAACTAATCTCCTCTTTACCGAGACCTTCTGGAGTCATCCATCGCTGTTCAATTTATCGGGGTATCACTTGTGACCTGGTGTCCATTTATTGCAGGCTATTTACTGCAGCTCTGACGCACGATATGGTGTGGACGGCCATAAAGCGTCCATGGCGCCAGGTTTTGCCTGGCAATCACCAGATTATGCCAGTTGTGCGCGCGTAAGCGCCGTTTAGAGATTTTTTATGGGTTCCGCTGCAGTCGTGCACGCTGACTGATGTTAGGGACGTTCAACGCAATCCTGACGCGATATCCTATTGAAAATCTCAGCCAGGCTAACATTCTTCACAATAACTCGACTCTGGTCTTGATTGTAAAGATGATGATATAACGACTGTAAAGGTAAGAACCATTAAATAATGCCGATTATTTCACTAGTGATTTTTCCCTTTAGCGTCTAGATGTACAAGCGTATCTGTTGCGTTTGATTAGGGCGATTTTTGTTTACATTTGAAGATCGTTTCTAAAACTGGACAAAAATTAAATTTTCATGCCCAATTGGAGATTTTTGTCGCTTGTCAGGTTTTTCTCAATGAATAAATTTCAGCAATGTAGTATGGAGACAATGTATGTAGTATTTTACACTCGCAAGGTAGCTGGTCGCTAGAGGGTTAAAAGGCGCTCTGTTTTGCGAGATGATATCTAGATTGAAAATTGAAATTTTTATTTTATCTTCTTTTAACCATAATGACATATTCCAACTTGGATAGTGTAAATTTGTAATTTGTGTTTTGAATCGAATGTTAAGCAAAGAGAGAGAGAACGAAAAATAAATTATTACGATGTCATTTTACCTCTCCTTGAGATGACACTAGACTCGGGGTTGAACTGAATGCTTCGAAGCCTCCTATAAAATTTGCTGATTAAATTTCCCTGCGCGATCGGGATACCAGCGAAGCAGTGTACTGCTAGCTCAAATTAAAACTTAATTTTCACGTTGGAAAAAAATTTATCTTTATTAATTCGTAGTTCAGACTCGAATGACAACGGGACTTGAGAAGTGTATAAGAAATTGATCACCAGTCTTCAAATAGTGGCAGAAGAGATACCTCCGCTCGTGGTTATTCATACATGTTCTCTGTATAGAGAGAACTTATCAGTAATCAGCCTGCATCGACACTCAATTAACGAAGAGAGGGTGGAAATCTGTCAACAATTACTAACGTCAAGCGGACTGCCTTAGTGAGTCAGGTCTGATAGATCATAGAATAGTCGCGAGAATTTAGCGTTCAAAACTAATTACTGTAATTGAAAACATCAAAAATACGCCTTGAAATGATTTGTTACGCAGACTTAGAACGAGAAAAAGCGCAGGGCGAGGAGTGTACGCGGGATTAATGTAACGTTTTAGTTGACTAATAGACTGATGACGTCTGACTCACCGTTGACGTTGAGGTAGCCTATTCGACTGATGACTTACCGTTGACGTTGAGGTAGCCTATTTGACTGATGACGTTTGACTTACCGTTGACGTTGAGGTAGCCTATTTGACTGATGACGGACTCAGTGTTGATCTGGCACATGTAGGTGCCGGCATCGCGTGGCTGCACGTCTTTTATCCCAAGGAACCACGTGCGGTGGCCGTCGTGGGTGACGCTGACGCGGGGGTTGCGGGTGATGACGTGGTTACCAACGGTCAGGATTATCGAGTGCTCCTTCTGGATCCAGGCCACCTGGGATATTTGAAGCGTAATGAAATGGTATTAATTTCTTAAAAAATTCTGAGGTAAAAAATTCAGAGGTAAAATTTAAAGGCAAAATTCAAAGGTAAAATTTGTCGTGTTGATAAGTTATTTTGTGTTTTATAATGCAGTTAATCCATTTAAAATTAGGATAATATTTGACAGAATGTAAATAAGAAATACAATCAGAGGTAAAATTCAAAGGTCGAATTTGTTCTTGTTGATAAGTTATTTTGTGTTTTATAATGCAATTAATCCATTTAAAATTATAATAATATTTGACAGAATGTAAATAAGAAATACATTGCAGCGGAATCGTGTATTGTTCCCGCAAACCATGATGAACAGCCGTTTTTTTAAGAACGAGCATGAATTGATGTACTCGTTAGTTTAGACATTGAATTAAATAACAACATGTTTACAAGGCAAGGAAATCTTCGGGAAAATTGCTAAGAGGCCTGCAGTAGTGAATTGATTCAAAATTGTTTCAGTTATAGACTAGCAAGTTTGGCAGTAAGCAGTTTTAAGTAAATCCTAAATAGAAAAATCAGCAGGTACATAGATATGCTAATAAAATATTTCATAACTTTCTTATTTTCTATGAGTTATTTTCAATAAGTAATGCATTATATTTTTACGAGACTCATTGTGTGTGATTAAATGTTTCTTCCTATATTTTTTTAGGCGCTTTTCGAAAAAGTCTACGGATTTTGAGCCTGATATTTAAATATCTATAAGGGGATACAGTCCATTGATTAGAAAATGTCTACCGTTTTAAACAGGAGTTGGTTTGAATTTGTACCTGTTTTTCTTATTTAGCTGTGCAACGCAATTAAAACTAATAGATTTTTCTGAGCATTGAACTTTTACCGTTGATGCATAATAACACTAATAAAAATGTGGAGGTCCAGCAATATAAATAATATAAAATATATTAATTTTGTAATATGTCAGTGATAAAAGATATGTTTTGAGTAATTATATATTAATTTGAGCTTGGTCACTGTAGCATACTAGAATTGGAGCTACACTTATAGATAAAATCACTGCAGGTCATCTCATACGCTTTTGTATACTGAGTTTATCCGAAATAATGCCATCACTGCGATTGACGGGAGAAATTTCAATATTTAACACAATACCAATAATTCAAGCTGAGACCACCGCTAATGCACTGTGTTCTGAAAAATATGCTATCGCGTATGGGATAAATTAAATTTATTAATTAGGTGCCAGTTTATAGCATCATGGATATCTCTACGCAAGTTAATTTTGAAGAATAACTAACCTTTGCGATTCCATAACTTTATGGTATGAATCATGAAGCATGCGTTCAAATCTCATTCAGCTTGATTAACCTGCTTTATAAAATTTTCATTGAGCCACTGCATCAATTTCCCAGCGCTATAGAATATTTAACACATATTTAATCTTGGTTATTGGATGTATGTGGTTCAGAACATCTCTTTGTGATTTAAATTCATTTCTACGCGATGTATTCAGTGTATGAAAACAATTTTCATCCAGATTATTAGCTGCATTCACGTGAGTTTGTTCATCTTACGACATTTGAGTTTTTGAAGTAGTGTATGGACCATTTAAAACTTATTGCTACATTATAAGACTTAATCATTTTGTATAGAGCTTAGCCACCTTCTATAAGACTTAATCATCTTAAATAAGATTTAACAACCATATATGTATATGACTAAATAACCTTATTATAAAATCTCATTTAAGTGTATATATATATCTCATATATTAAATATATCTTAACGTTTGGGAACTTTTTTTAAGACTTAGAATATGATATTTCTCTAGCTTACACAGGACATTACCACCCAACATGTGTGCCTTAGTCACCTTGTATAAGATCTAGACATCTTAGGTAAGATATTAGCCTCCTTAGGTGTACCTTAAGAACCTTACATAAGACCGAACCACCTCATTTGGGACATTAGCCTTCTTATTTTTATCTTAGACGCCTGGTAAATTCCAAGTCACATTATATAAAACAATAATTTGTCGAAGTATGTGTGCTCTAGCCACTTTGCATTAGACTCAGTCACCTAACAGCTTCTATAAGATATAGCCACCTCACATAAGACCTAACAGCTTCTATAAGATATAGTCACCTCACATAAGACCTAACAGCTTCTATAAGATATAGTCACCTCACATAAGACCTAACAGTATATACAAGATATAGCCACCTAACATAAGACCTAACAGTATATACAAGATATAGCCACCTCACATAAGACCTAATATTATATACAAGATATAGTCACCTCACATAAGACCTAACATTATATACAAGATATAGTCACCTCAAATAAGACCTAACATATACAAGATATAGTCACCTTATATGAGCCCAGATGGTCGACAACGCAGGCCAGCCTCACGTCACGCCCCGCTGGAAACGTCACGTTCTGGATGGGCTCCAGGAACGTCGGCGCCTGAACTTCTGCGCATACAAGCGGTCATGTTATAATGCGATCATTCTTTAACAGAGTTACATATGACATTACCATTACATATGACATTACCTCTTTATATTCGTATTAAACCTTATGAACTCATTTTAAAAACAACACCATAAATGTATTAATTGTTTTTGGTCAATTAAGGCAATAAGCCAATCAATCCTTCGGCAAAGTATATAAAGAAAATGGAATCTTATCAATTCATCGTTCCTGACATAAAGGCACTCCCAAATGCGGAAAATTTTTCGATTGTGAAATAGTCATTGGAATTTATGAATTCTTTTGAAATATGAATTTTTTAAATTTATCTGACGAATTTTTAATTGAATACCTTAGAACAAGAGGACTACTTATCTAATGGTTTTATCCTAGGAAAACTTAAGAAGACGTTTACTATAACAATTAATCGCGAAGAACATCTCGATGAAGAAAGTTTCGATAACTTAATTTTGACCGGTTTTATCCTAGGTTACTGATTATTACTTTAATTAAAAATTACTGTTTCAAAAAGTTAATTACATGCTATTCTTCTTATTTGTGCAACTCAACTATCTATTTTATTGAGCTATATTAAAACAATATCAGTATTTTTCGTGTCCCGTTATATAAAAACACTATTGCATTGAACCGGCACTGAAAACGCAATATCTAATTATAACACTGCACATATTCATTACAACTGAAGTTAATGTTCCTTCATTAAACCAAATGCTAGTGAAGATCAAAATTTATTCTTCGTACTCCCGTACATCGCGACAAAGCCTGTGTAAAATCAAAGGCCGCGCTCAGGTCGCAGGAGCGTCGGATGTCGAGCGTTCATATTGACTACTAAGAAGTGCAATAGAGGCGAGAACGCAGCGCTTCATGTGTTGACTAGCACACCATGCATTGTTGCTTGATGTGTGTTTACAGTCCTAACATCGCTGTGTGTTTACAACACTAACTCAACCGCCGCTACGTGCTCTAAACTCTGCAATGTTCGTATAGACAACAGTGTTGAGCAAATGTCAGCGCAACGTGTGAGGAATGAGCAAATAGAATGCTTGGGATTTCTGCCTAAATGATGTGATTAGTAACAATAATTTGTTTAGAGTGGAATTCAATTAAAAAGATCATGAGGAGTGTGATAATTTCACAGAATTTTATGGTTGTTTGACTCATAAATCAGTGTTCATTCAAATGAACATAAAAAGTGAGATTTGACAATTGTTTTCATTATTCTCCAATCATGAAAGCATCCAATTCAGATTTTTAGGTTGTTTTAAAAGCGTTTCAGAATTTTTTGATTTAAAAACAAATTTGTTGTAAAAGTTCCTCTCCGCAGCCAAGATAAGTCACTGGAAATTTTTCAACTTCCATCACGAGATATTGAGAGTCGACTGTTGGAGCAAGAATTTAAATCCATTGCAATTATTGCATACATTATAATTATTATTTTTTAGCAATAATGTATGAATAAGAAAGAATGTCCAAATTGTCTAAATGTCCATGGACATATTGTTAATTCCATAATCAAAAATAATAAATTTATGACAAGTAGTTAAATGTCGCGAATTACCAAGCGTAATCAGAAATCATGTGATTATATAGCATATTTTGAATATCCTTGTAACCCCGATAACTATTACTACAATCTCAGCCCTGTCTAGGTTACCCTATGTTGCAGTGTTAACAAGAGTAAGGATCTTCGCTAATTAGAAGTTACTGATATTAAAATTCAAAGGCCATACGAATCAAGTTTCATTATCCACATTGTATTTCAAATGTGGTTTTTGACAGGATGAGGGGGTACTCAAAAAGAAGCTACCTTGAAGCTTGAAGGTAGGAAGACGAGCCACGAAAAGAGGGAAGAGCAACGGAGGATGATGGACAAAGCCGCTGAAGGGTGGACAGAAACATTAATAAGGTGGAAAGAACCACATAGCAGAGGGATAAAGCATCACAGTGGATGAGGAGAGAAATAGAGGAAGTGGGAACAAAGGGGATGATGAGAGACAACGAGGGGTAAATAGAGAAACAGAGTAGGAGAGGGAAGAGCAACAGAGAATGTACAGGACGAGTAACAGAAATGGTGTGGGTAAAGCAACAGAAGGGATGAGGGGAGCTGCAGAGGGGATGAGGGTAGCCGAAGAGGGTGTGTAAAGCCCGTGGAGTTTTGATAGACGAGGCGGTGATTGGAGCGCGATTATCATTAGTGGTTGCTCAGCGGCATTCATTTACGATGGTTTGCGAGGCGACGGGTGAAGTAATAAATCAGTGCCAGAGCATCAGCGGGGAGACTGCGCTGCTGCTGCTGACTGTGATGATGCTGCTGCTGCTACTGATAAGCTACTGCTGCTACTGTTGCTACTGATGCTACTGATGCTGCTACTGTTGCTACTTATACAATATTGCTGCTGTTAGTGCTGCTGCTCGTCGCGAAGCCCCTGCTACTGAAGCAGCTATTATTGATTCCAGCGCTGAAATTTTTTTGGAGCTTCAGCAGCAGATTCGCTCATCCAGGTTTTCATTGTGCTAGTGTTGACACTCGCTTAACTGTCGCTTGTTGATCGAGGTATGATGATGCAGCATGTCAGACTTGTCATTCTGGCTTATTATAACAAGGCACACGCCAGATTTCGTACGAACAATCAATAAATAGTATTCAGCTTGAAATTCGGGTTAGAATTCCAATACGCTCAAATGGTCCATCTCTTCTAATCAATAATGATATAATAAAAGTTTTCAAAGTGCCTACACGTTGCCTGAGTATTAGTTACTTATTTATTAAATTACACGTTAGTTTGAATCCTTTTCCTGATAACACGGCAACAAAATTAGTATTTTTCCCTATATAATTTTATTCACAAATACTTATATCATTAGACTGCTTAAATTACAAGTTCACCAATAATTTAAAATAAATAAAACGCCAAGTAAATTCACCATATCTTCAATGAAAATTTTCAATGAATGAGGACATTCTGCAGCAGCACGTCTACATTGAAGATATGGTAAATTGATTTTTTTTTGTATTGTCAGGCATTTGACAATAATGAAAGTCTGGCACGCAAAATCGCAGTCGGTAACATTAAGATGCCATATTTGCCCTTATCTGGCATTAATTGTTTCGTGACAGACTCGCCTAATTTCGAAGGCTTTGTGACAATGCCCTTTTCGAGGGCTGTGAATTCCGAGGAGCAAAACAGCTTGTTGTAAGCGACTGCAGAATGCGAAATGAAAACCACAATGTCATCAATCACTGGTGGATATACGGTGGCCAATCATCGGTAATCGATCGGCCAATCTTCGGCCACTCAGCGGCCAATTCTCGGTCTTTCAGCACCCATCGAAAGTCAGTGGTTGATTTACCAGAGGGAAGCTCAACGCTTGTTTGTCTATGCATGCAACGGTGCTGACATGAGCGATCAGGATGAGTTTGTCCTGACCGTTTAAAGACCAAATGGACACCATGAAGACTTACTTAAAATCACCTTATAGACTCACTGAAAATCTTTCATAGCTTTAACGCTGTGTTCATCACAGTCTCATCAATGGTATGCAGTGTGAAATTTATAAATGTACTTGCGTCAAGTGTAAACATTCGAATGATTAATTGATATTTTTTAATTTATATTGTAGATTTACCGACATAAATTTTCGGATTATTCTCGATTGAGGCAGCGGAAGAAATACAAGCTTGGTCTATATCTACGAAATATTTAACTGAATTCAAGTTATATTAGATTAACATCTTAAAAGGCACACAGATATATCAGTTAGAGCGCATTTAAGGATCGGTTATTGACAATGTACGTCAAGATTTTGCTCATGCGTTAAAGTGTGTCTTCAAATCTCTAATTAATTAAAGCAGTCACCTCCATTTGAAAAAAGAGATGATCTACCATTTTGTTTTAAATCTTAGCCAGTTCATTTTGGTATTAGAATTTTGTTTCTAGATGTCGTTATAACAATTGGGTTAGGTTAGGGTAAGCGTTTTAAATCCTTAGTTCTTATAAAATCATGTAATCTCTTTGATATTCATGATAAAATATTCGCGAAATCGAAAAAAAATTTAATTTTTTGAGTAAAATCACAAAAAAACTAATTATAGTTTTGAATTTCCTTCAATGTACAGTGCTTCACTGGGCAACATCGGAATTATTGTGAAGATAATGCCCGAATAATGCATATTTTTATATTTCACGGAATGTTATGTAATTACAATACAATTTAAGTTGTAATGTATTTACATATTTTTGTACGTCTATCCCATTGTAAAATAAATCCATTTAGAACTAATAAGAAATTCTGTAACTGGATTAATAGCTACCACTGCTGAATACCAAATTTCCGTCTAGTTACCAATGAAATTTGCTCAGCTTGATTAAACGAAAAGTAATAAATCAATTGTCCGTTATGGAGGTAAAGTAATTTATTACGTTCAAAATAATAAATTTTAATAACAAATTAGCAAGTAATTGTTTAATCGTTTTTGACTCACAATAATTGATCTCAGAAATAGGATGTCACTCAGGAGTGTCTGGCGCGATGAAGACGACATCTCATTATTCGAAGTCCTTCTAGATCGGCTTACCGACTCCGGGTCCCTGAGATCGATTTCCACGATCGTGATTCCTAACGATCAGCGTTTCGACTGAATATTAATCATCCAAATAAGTTTCAAATGCATATACGAGTCAAGTATTTGAACCTATATGATGGGAAATTACTTGACTGGATGTTAACTAGCGTTCGACTAGCGTAGAACAAATTTAAAAAATTCTGATATATGTTTCTATATTCTTTGCAACGTTTTTCGGGAACGTATTCGAGCGATTGAATTGTTATTGATTGTTTTCATATGGAACAACCAACACAGTCTTCAAGCTAGTGCAGCTCCGTAGCAGTCATGCCCCGGCCCTGTAGACCCTGTAGACCACAGCAGCACAGTCTTCCAGACCATCCAGCCCAACGGTAACACAGCCCCTAGACCCTGCAGCCCAGCAGCAGCATACAGCTCCCAGACCATCCAGCCCAGCGGTAACACAGCCCCAGACCCTGCAGCCCAGCAGCAGCATACAGCTCCCAGACCATCCAGCCCAGCGGTAACACGTACAGCCCCCAGACCCTGCAGCCCAGCAGCAGCCCCCGAGAAGGTCATATAGCACGCGTGATGAGACCACTTACAAAGGCAAACGGTGGCTCCAACTTAAATGCTGTCGTTAGGACTAAGATTCGCTCCAGCATGCAGAGGGGAGTGTGGCCGGGGGCGTTGTACGGGATGATGCTAGACGTGCGGCGTGATTTTACTGCTTAAAATGCAGGCGAAAGAAACAAATGGTTCTGGCTGAGAATGTGGCTGCGAGGTGACGTAGAAAAGATAAATAATTAGTAGCTTTAATGAATGTGATGAGTAAATTTGGTCATGGTGGTTTGTGTATGTGAGCTGATGCAATTTACTTGTGTTACATTTAATCATGCATTAAAAAAACAATCAAACATGCTACTGAAGGAAAATTTGAAGAGAAAATTGAGTGTCAAGAAAGTTACTGAAATCATGATAATTTCATAAACTTGAATAAAATAATCGTTCTAACATTGATTACAAACAAAATTCTGGATGAAATAGCACTTTTGATGTTCGAGAAGATCTCCTAGTCATTAAATAAGAAATGATTTCATTTATATATCAATATTAATAAACAAACAAAGGAACGTGAAAGACAAAGAACAACTAATTATAGGTTTAATATATTGGCAGGCAAAACG